ATTATAATACGATTTTGCTTAGATTTTGTTGTGCACACTCAGAAAAATATGCTCTAATCAAATACTAGTTAAATTAAACTGATCATTAAAAGAATTTAAGCTCATGTGGAAAAGAAGATATGAAAACCTACATGTAGTATGGGTGAATCAATATAATGCGTCGAGTAAAAAAATTTTGAACTTAGATTTAGTTAAATTCTAGTTAATCAACTAAACTATTTTTCTGAGTGTACTATCCGATTTGGTTTGTCAATTTGTTTAAATGTTATTTAAATAAATGCAAATGCTCATATATTTAAAAGTTATTTTTGTAAATTCACTTTTAAAGACACACGCTGTGATAAAGACAGTTAATCAGTAATTAAATCATTGTCCTACTTGATATTCTGCCCGAGAGTTCTGGCGGACTGTTGGGGCTACTGGCAAGCTAAAACCAAGTGTCTTGTTTGACGCCAGCTTAAACTGGGATTGATTAACAGATTCAATTGAGAACAAATTCAGTCAATGCATTTTGACCGAGACTTTTTTTTATAAAATTAGTAAGTTCATAAAAATATTGTAGATAATTGACTGGCTAAACAGCTGTTTTGTACTATAAAAAGATTGTACTATACTATAAAAAAAAGCAGTAAGGTTTTTAACTTTTAGGAAATTATGTTTCGTCATCACACAGAATGCAGATTTATAGAAAAGAAAGCTAACTTTTACTGCAAGTAAACATACAAGAAAATATAATATGATTACACAGGTCAACAAAAAAAAATTTTTTTTTTATCCTAGATATGTTATTGAGTGATCCTAGAGGTATTTTGCGTGCTGATTCCAAATCTGGACTTAGATTTTTTCTATCACGTCTAGTTTTCTTTAGACAACCAGATTAACGGGTGATTCAAGGGGTTTCAGCAAATAAATCGTGAATTTAAAAAATGGTACTTTCTTATGTTTTTCTCGCATATTGAGCATCTGGTAAGTCCCTTTTTAGTGTCCAGCAGTAATCTGCTAACATGTTAGTGAAATTTCCTTTGTGGCGTTTTTCCATGTGTAAAATATCCTGGTAAAATGCTCACCATGTTCATCACTAACGGCGCTAAGATTTGGTGGAAAAAAGTCCAGGTGAGAGTGTAGGAAGTGAAGTTTTAAAGACATATTGCAGCCCATTTTTTGGTATGAATCAATTAGATTAGCCACCAGATCGCGATAATTTTCAGCTAACATATTTCCTAAAAAATGCTCAACTACATTTTTGAATGAGTTCCACGCGTTAATTTCCGTTGAACTCAATTGCTGTTGAAATTCCGAGTCCTTCAGCAGTTCTCTAATCTGTGGCCCAATAAAAATACCTTCCTTAATCTTTGCCTCACTTATTTTAGGAAATTTTTGCTTCAAATAAGTAAAACCACCACCATATTTATCCATGGGCTTAACAAAATTTTTAAAAAGTACTAATTTAATGTGCAGAGGTGGTAAAAGAATATTTTTAGGATCGACCAAAGGCTGGAAGAGAGAGATTCCAGGAACGAGTGCTTTACGTTGTGGCCAATATTTTTTCAAGTAATGCAATTTTCGGTCTCTGCTATCCCACTCGCAGATGAAGCAACAATATTTCGTGTAACCAAGTTGTAAGCCTAGTAAAATTGCAATAACTTTTAGGTCACCACAAATTTTCCACTTATATCTTTCGTATTGAATTTTTTTTAAGAGAAACTGCATATTCTCGTAAGTTTCTTTCATATCAGTTCCATGGGCTAACGGTATTGAGGGAATTTCATTTCCATTATGTAAGAGAACAGCCTTTAAACTGACCTTAGAAGAATCAATGAACAAACGCCAATCATCATCGTTGTATTCAAAATTAAGAGTATCCATAACAGATAGAACATCATTGCAAAAAATAAGGTTGTTTTCTTGAGAAAAGAATAATTTAAATTCGTCATGGCGAGATCGATACATAGAAATTTTAGTTTTTGAATCCAACAATTTCCAACCCTTTAATCGTGATCCTAAGATTTCACTCTTCTTTTTGCACAACTTTAAATCGCGCACTAGATCGTTTAAATCGTCTTGCGTTATAAGATGAGGTCCATCAGATTTATTAATTCGTAATATTATTATTTATACATATTTATTAACCACGTTATTTATATACATATATTTACATCACGAAAATAATGTATACTATATATATCATATATAAATGAAATACCCAACGCTTAACCCAATCTTTCATACACTTTTCAAAGGCCCGTGAAGGTATGGCTTTTAGTTCCTTCGGCGAATTTTCTTTTACCGATTCAATCGACTCAAAACGCTTACCACGAAGGGGCAATTTGAGTTTCGGGAACAGAAAAAACTCGCACGGATCCAGATCTGGCGAATATGGTGCCTGAGCGATGACAGTGGTGCCGTGTTGCTGTAAACAAACTAATTGTTAGATGGCGCTGAAATTTGTATCAATTTGTATTGTCAAGAAAGGGTGTACCAACATAACAAAAAAAAAATTTTTGAAAAAGGTCTATTACTTAAAAAGTAGTTAACAAACAACAAAATCCGGATACTTTTTGAGCAGTAGGTAAATTACGACTTTATAGCAAAAATATACATTCAACTGTTTTGAAGAACCTAGACGTGATAGAAAGAATCTAAATACAGATTCGGAATCAGCACGAAAAACACGCCTAGGATCTCTTAACAACGTCTCTAGGATAAAATCTTTGTTGACCAGTGTTATCATATTTATCTGATCGATAATACCTTATATCACTGTCACAGTTTTTCAATGTTACTGATCAAGACAGATATCTAGACGCCATTATCTTGAAAGACGAGGTGATTCGGTTCTCAAGCAGCGCAGCAGTTGCGACAAATTGTAAGACACTTTGTCTGACTATTGGAAATAAAGCTAACATTAATTGCAAGCTTCTTAATATTTGTATAGTTTAGTAATGAAATTAATAAATTTTCTTGTTGTAATTTATTATTGTTTGAATAACAAAAACAATTATTCAATTTAATGACTACCCATTGTTTGAATCAAGAATATTTCAAAATCGTTTTGAAAAGTGACCATCTTCAAAAACTTCAATCCCATAATGTGTGGGCTGCATGTTCTTTAATTAATTATTATAAGACAGTCTTTTAATATTATGATTTTAGAAAAAAAATAACAGATAAATAACAGATTTAAAATGACACATACATACTGCCTTATTGTCTTTCCAAATGGAATTCATATTAATTATAGAGCAAATCACTTCATTTTTACCGCCCTATGCTTCAATAGGAGCGATACTTAAACACACATCTGTGTATAAAAATCACTTCATTCAATCACTAATGCAGGCAAATTAGTGATTGATCACTAATATGATTAGATTATGTATGTTATTTTTAATGTTCTTTTCTATTTCAATATTTTATACCATATTTTTACTTTGATTTTTGTTTCCGAAGTTATATGGATTCATTTTTTAACGATATCAACTCGTTTTAATCCTTAAAGATAACCTGAAGTAGCGGTTATGGCTTATACCATTTTCGATTCTGATGTAACCCATAAATAAAAACAAAACAACAACACATAACATCCCTAAAGCAGTGAACGCATAATAATTTTCGCATATATACATTTCTTAAACCAATTCCCGCAGTAAAACTGAGTAATAATATGCAACATGAGAAGCAATGCTCTGCAAAATTGTACGAGGAACTTTGGTTCCAAAATAAAATCAATCGGAGCTTCGGTAGTTCATATGAACTTCCTTTTAATGTTGCAGAATTTGAATATGCTGACAAAATTTTATTTTTGCTATTTGTGTTTTTTTGATAGATTTTCGTCTGTAGTGATCACAATTAATTGATAAATAACTTTAATAGGAACTTAAAGATTTTTTTAAATAATTTTTCCTTAAATTTAAATTAAATAAAAATTTAAGAATTTTTTAGTATTAACCGAATTATTAATCTAATTTTATTTGGAAACTTCAGAAGTATTCATACAAACTTTTTTATCAATACTATTTATTGACTTAATATTTATTTTCCAATTATTTTTCCATTTTTTTTGTTTATTTTATTTCAAAATCAAATTATTTAGGTCAAAGCTGTATTTACAGTTAATTAATTAATAATTAATTAATTGTTGAACGAAAGAATCATATATAGTTATTTTTATAAATACATTTATATGAATGCCATAACTTCTGCTAATCTACAGTTAAAGTGCATTGCAATGAATTATTAAATTACTGTCACATTGTTTAATAATTTATTGTTTTAGCTTTAAATAAATGCGTAGATATATTTGACTTTGACGTTAACATAAATAAACTTGTCAAATTGACAGCTAACAGCACCAAACAAGCGCAATATAAAACAAAAGTTAGTATTAGTTGATTTTACAAAAAATTTTGCTGCAAAATGATTGTATAAACATTTCCAAATAAAATTTCTGAAAGAACAAAAGTTTTTAAAAATCAGTATACTGCATTAAATTAACTGTAGAAATAATTAAATGAAAAAAATTTAAATTTAATTTTACAATTGATAATTTTTTTGTCATATTTAGATATTTAAATGTGAATATATCTCACATTTAAATATCCATTTAGAGCAATTAAGAGTAGCAAATCAACTGCATTTAAGTGGTTTCCCAAAAATTATTTCGGAAAACAATTTTCACTCATTTCACTTTTCTGTTGTATTGCAAATTAAATAAAATTTCTCTGCATATTTAAATAATATTGTGGGAATACTGATTAAATGTAATTTTACTTACCGATGGTAATGAAATTTGCAATGATTGGTTGGTAATTCACCGCATTGAAATGAGAATCCTTAACTTATATTTATGTGCAAAAGTAAATAAATGGAAAATTTAATTAAAAAACATTTTTAAAATTAAAATTAATCGTAACAAAATTAATTGTGTAACTTTAATTCTCTTTTCTCGTACAGTTTTCCAAGCTTCACAACACAAACATGGATAAAAGCTTTTTAAGCAAAACAATTGCTAAAAGTTATATAAAAATACTTTTCAAATTTAATGCAATAATAAACTAATAATTGCACAAATATTTGAAAAAAAGAAAAATATTGTTGAGTATAATTTCTAACTTCCGCACCAGAAAATTTGTTTACCAAACCAACAATAAAGCGCCTCGAGCGGTACCTTTCAACAAACAAGTTAAAAACAATAAACAATGTATGCCAAACACAAACAATTGCATAGAAAAATGCTGAACAATTGTAAAAGAGCTATAGGCAACGACTCGCGGCGACATCTACTGAAATTTGCATATGGATTTCTCATATTTTTAGCAACAATGTCTTGTCAGAATACGTACGCCATTGACTTGTCCAGCTTCAACAATTGCTATGACATCAAAAAACAAGGCTTTGATGAACGCTGGAACGCCACGGCACCCCGACAGTTCATAGCAGGAAATAAGACAGCCACGATAGCGACAATAGTAGAGAAATACCATCAAGATGCCATATTTCATGTTGCAAACGCAACGTCAACGGAAACAGTGCCGCAAACTTCAACGACTTCCGGTTGGAATTGTTGTTGTTGGAATTCAACTAATCAGGTAAGTGCTTATTATAAAAAGGAAATTATTTGTAAAAAATATTTTATCTTAAATTTACATAATCTGAATATATTTGTTTAGTTTTTGTACATGAAAACTTAAGCTTAGCTGTGAAATTAGCTTTTAAATAGTGTATTGGTTGCAGAGAGGTTTCGAAAAGTAATGTACTACAACAACAAAATTTATTTTTATATTATTTTAATTAAACGAATTTTTGGCTGACCATACAGCTGTTTCAAGTATTGCCAAATACTCATTATCAGTGTTCTTGAAATTATTTATTATATATTATTATTCGTAAATAATTTTTTGAAACTGCAAGTACTAAGAGTTGAACTCGTGCCCTGTCAACTCGTTCTTTTAGTTGTCTAATGGTCTAATGGGTAATAGTAACTAGATTTTATTGCTATTTTCTTCTTGTAGTATTAGTAATTAATTTTGTAGTCTATTAAAAAAAACTTGATACATATTAATTAAAATCTTACTTATCTTATCTATGGGTATTTTATGATAAAAGGGTTCGATAATAGCAGGGTTCCTTCTTTGATAAGTTAAAGGCTAAATTTATATATTTTGTATGTTTTTTATACGACGTGGTTATTGAATTTACGTCTTCAAATTATTTATGGTCATTAATAATGAAAAATAATTTTATAAATGTTTATTAAGATTCTTTCGAGACATGAATTGTGCAACATTCATGAAAAGTTTCTTAAATATGATCCAAAATTGGCCACTATTATATGTTTATGTATGTATATGATAAACTGAAGAGTTGTAAAGTCAGTGCAATGAGTTCACATTTAATAAATTTTTACAAAAACTTGATATTTCCGACTACAACAATTAAGATATTATAATCTTGCCTCCGATTCAAATAAAATAGAGAGAAAACCAATTTTGGTTCTGATTCAACTTTTCTTCCCTTGATCATATTAATACGATACAATTCATACTTCTTTAATATATATCTTTAATATCAATATCAATTTTCGTGCCCGATCAAGTCGTACTATGGTTATAAAAATTCAGGAGCATAAATGGGGCTGGATAGCATACACCTTCAGACGACTAAATGTCAATATTATCAAACATGTACAGAGCTAGAACCCCTAATGTTTTGGGCGCCACAATGTGTTGCTTATGAGGTGGAGGATAATATCGAATTAAAAATGCAAATTATTCATAGGATGACATTATAACTTATTTTCATAACTTAGTTCTATTCAAACTGATAACACATGTGCCTAACTCCACCTTAAAGATATATAATAATCACATACGTATATACATACACGATTTCTTGTCCATAAATAATTCAATAGTTATATCACTTTATACCTAAGGACAGAGGGTGTTTGTCATTAATCATAAGCATGATTGCATTTACAGTATAGATCTACTTTCATCGTATCCACTTATTTCCTGCCATCCTTAATTCCTAGTAAACCATAAGCTCAATAATCTTTTTAAATCGAGTCCAGTTATGAATTTTACAATATATCAAAGTATATAAAAAGTTGTTTAAATAATAATGACTGCTAAAGGTTATATCATATAATTTAGAACTAAAGAAGCTTATAAAATTCCTATAGTTTACTACAACAGTATCTTATTCGAAAATGAATAACCCCATAATTGGGATTGCATATTGTTGCCTCAGATAAATCTTTATGTAGGGTAACAACTATCATAATCAACCTTTCATAGAAAGGTTACGATTACTTTTTGCGTTGTTTTGTTATGAGTCACTCTATGACTGCATTTATTAAAGTATCAACATTTTATCTGCAACCAAAAATAATTAACAAAATAAATATTTATAATGTGTAAATGCTTAAAGGATGTTATTAAAATAACTTGCTTCGCAGAAACGATTATAAAAACTTCAAAACGTCGACAATATTAATCCAAAATATATATTAAACATTTGTTTCTAATTGTTAGCGTAAGCCTTTAGATATTATCAATAAACTATAATAAATAATAAAATAATTATTTTAGAAGTAATTTTTTGCAAAGTTCAGTTCTAAGTACAGATCCAGGAAACTTCAAAAATATTCGTATTTAAAACATTTGGAACATTGCTAAAGAGACTAATTAGATAGTTTTGGAAATTTCTTTTTTAACTAAGTCGAAAGATAAATATAGAAGCTTTTTTATTTGCTTAGTAAATATAAGAGTTTGAAAGCTAGTATATTTCGTTAAAAACGTATCATTGACAGCTTATAAAGTCTAATATTTCCAGATTCATTATGCTCTTCTAATAAAATGATATGCTTGCTGCTAACATATCATGAAGCAAAAATTATTGCTTAGAATATTGATGCAACTCTTTTGGCTACCATTGATGATTGCCGCCATACGACCACATGTCTTAATATGTCAATTATCATAGTTAAAACTTGGACTGATCGAATAGACCATGTAATTCTTAGTCATGGCAATATATGCTGGAAATCTTATTCAAAAATAAATACTATGAAATTATTGAGTTTCATTCCAGTTTCATTTCAAAAATATTTCAGTCTTGTGTTATCATTTTAAGTTCTCGTGCAGCAAAAAACACTCTATAATTTCATTTTCGATTTTTGCATAATGTGATCATAATAATAGTCTCGAATAATTTATAGGGCTATAAATTTTTATAATATTTTTTTTTAAATCATTCTACACTGTTTGAAGTCTTCATCCCTGTGGTCCTATATCTCTCAGGCATTTGCTAAAAATGGACGGTAAAGAGTTTCAAATATTTTAAATTTGGTATCCCTTGTTAATAACTGGATTTTAAATACCAGAAGATATACAATATAGTGTGTTAAATAATTCCACTGAAATATTAAAATTTCCACTTTTATTTGAAAGGGTATGTACTACCCCTTCAATCTTAAGGAATCTTAATTTTGCTTTGAGTGTCTGTCTAACTTATGAGCAAATAAATGACTAAAATCAAATATTATACTGTAATAAATATATTTTGTTAATGATACTTTACCGTTATTGTAAGAATTTATTATTTCTTTTTATTATTTTAAATGCTATTGAAAATATATATTTTACTGTTAGAATCGTTGAAATAATTAATATAAATTTGTATTTCAATAGTGAAATATTGTATTTTTACAAACATTAAATTATTCATTTTATGAGTATGAAAAATTATCGGATATATTATGTAAGATAAAGAAGTGATATATTTTTCTATACTTTTTGATAATATTGTTCACATTCAATATAAAATAAAGGATGTAGATAATCTACTTAAGCACATCGTTTAATCAATTAAACACTTTGGAAAATTGTTCTCACTTTTATTTGTTTTTAAGTATTGATTTCATTAATTTCCGTAAAAAGCTGAATGCATTCGTTGTCTGTAATTATGTCTAACCACCTCTATTTGAAACTAATCTTACAAGGACATCCCCTCCAATTCACGCTTTCAGTAAATGACATTAAGATAAAAAGCAGCAATTATTATAAATGAAATGGAAGACAATTAAAGTAAGTGGAGTGAATAAATGTTTTAATGTTTAATGCTTAAGTGAACTTGTCTCTTAAGAAAAACAATAAATTAAGTTAATTTGATAAAAAAGATGCACGTGTCTAATATATTATTTATTTGATTTCTTTAAATGCTTAGCAATATATTTTTTATCACTTCTTTAATGCTAATTTTATAATAAAAAATTAGTGGTCACTAATAGAAACACATAAGACTGAACCATGTTTAATTAATTGTTGTTAATTAAATTTATGTTTGTTAATTTTTGCAAATTCACTTTATTCTTATAAGTCCTATGAGGCTAAAATCAATATTTGTCGTTGTGTACTAATTTAACTCCTGCTTTTAAGTTGATGGTATTGAGTTACTTTTAAAATATTTAACTTTTCCGAATGACTTTGCTTGTTGACTTTAGTAAAACGTAACCCTCTGATGTCACAATGTAAATCCGTTCGATTGTTAGCCTTATGTCACTGCATGCTAAAACAAACAATTGGTTTAAAACATTTTAGATATTTTTTTAGTATTGTCACCCTTTAATGTGATGACAGTGAACGCTGGTACGAAAATAGTGCAGCTTACAATGTTTGCTTTAAGTATTAGCAGCAAAATGCATTATTAGATGGAAACAAGTCCAGTGTTATGGTGCACACAAGTTCAAACAGTGGTTCATAACAGTATATATATGCACTTCTATTTAAATATATTATTTAAATTACTAATTAATCATCACTATTGCTATTTAAATTACTATTGTTTTAGTTATTTAAATTACCTTGACTTTGCACGAACGCAAATTAAGAGTAGTTTACAACTTAAATGTTCTCTTGTTACGAATTGAAATATTTTTACTACTTAATACACTGTATATGAAATAGGATAAACTAATTAAAATACAAAACTATTAACACTAATTTGGTCTTTTAAAGTTCATTTAAAAACGCAGCGCCTTAAATTTAAGAGATTAATTTTTATTTTATCTTTAAAAATAATCTTCTTAATTCTCCTAAAATGAAAGTTGTCGGAATCAGTGCTTCGAAATGAAAATAAACCTTAAACCGAAAAACCGATATTTTGACCGGATCCAAAAGAATATAATAATTTAGAATATTATTTGACAGGCACGAGTTCTAAGCCTGGCACTTGCAGTCCGAACAAATTATATACGGACTATAAACAAATTAAAATAAAATTCGATTATTTCCAAAGACCACTGATGAAGAGTACTTGGCAATACTCGAAACAGCGTTGTATGGTCAGCCAAATTTCAATAAATTAAAAATAAAAAATTTTTGTCTTTGTCTTTTCTTTGCTATTCGAATCCATCTAACTTTTAAATAGTTTCTTTCGTCATAAAGAGACACGCCATTATCGGCAAGAAAAAATTAACCTTAAAAATTATAATATTATTGTTTAGTACCTCTTTATATACACATATGTACCTATTCCTTTTCAGTTGTTGATTAGTTAAATTCAAAAGTTTAAAACCCGTTTTAAT